CTGAAAACCATGGCAAAGAAGAGAGAGAGAGAGAGCTGTCTCTTATACACATCTAGATGTGTATAAGAGACAGGTGTGTGTGTGTGTGTGTGTGTGTGTGTGTGTTATTTTAAAAAATTGCCTGCAGCATGAACATCGTAATCATACGTGGTGTTTGTGCAACTGGAGCAGCAATTTGAACTTTGAAAAGCATGACACACATCGGTCCTCCTTCTTGACTGTGCGGTATGCAGACAGTTATACAAGTGATGCTGCAATTCCTGGCTACCGACCCTCTTTACAGACGAAAGAAAGTCCGAAAGTGCTCTCACCTCAGGATCCTTAACTCGCTCCACAAGCAAGGCCTGGAATGCCACAACCGCTTCTTTGCGACGGATCTTAACGCGCGCACGCTCCATTTCCTCCTCCTCCCTCTCCTTTCTCTTCCGAAGCTCCCTTTCTCTTGCTTTTTGTTTCTCCTGCAGAATACAGAAAAAGAAAGACCCAACAAGAAGGACAAGCAGTTAACGAGGAGGAGAGAAGACAGGATGCAGGGAGAGGTAGAGAAATACAGAAGAGGGCATGGAGAAGGGGAAAAGGTTGGAATTCAAAGCGCAAAGAACTCATGTAGGAAGAGAGAAAGAATGGACAGCTTGGAATACAAAGCGCAAAGAACACGTGTAGGAAGATAGAGAATGGATGGAAAGAACAACAATCCAAGTACACTTATGTGAAAGAAGAGAAAAAAAAAAAGAAACAACACAGAAAGCGAGGGACAGAGGGACTGAGGTGCGTTCTGGACTATCATGCACGGAGAGCACTGTACGATTTGATTCTCCGGCAAGACTTGGCCTTCAGAAGTGCATGGGGAAATGAAACCATCTTCATAACCCGAAAAGCATGTACATACGTTCCATTCAAGTTAATTCAACTCACCGCTGTTTTTCTTCCGAATAGAACATACGCTCGAATACAATATATGTACGTTGTATCCAAATACAAAGTACATACATTGTATTTGTGTGTCCATGTCCATAAGACTTAAGGGCCAGGACCCATGGTTATATGTCCTTTTTGCCTAGAAAGAATCAATTGTCTTGGAAACTCTCCATACCAAGACCATAGCAGGGCTTGCTCCTAATGCCATACAACAAACTTAGGTCTTTGAGAAAAACAGTGTCGCCTCATCTTCGTAGGCCGCCATCGGACCTAAGAAAAAACTTACCAAACGTCAGCGCAAAAGAATCAAAATCAGTTTTTTTATCAACAAGAGGGAAAAAGTGGGAGGGTGCAAGTGGCAAGAGAAAGCGACCTGGCTTATATGGCTGGAATGTACACACATGTACGTGTTGGTCAATAGAAAATGAGTTTGAATAGTGGAAAATATTTTTCAAAGAGGAAATGACGAACATAGGTAGGAGACACTTCTCCTTCCTCCGCAACTCTCCCCTAGCATTGGGCTCTATGAATAACTCTATGCTCGGAGCTGCCAGGAAGTCCGACTCCCGTTTCTTCTTTCGGTGAAGCAGACCAGAACAGCAGCCTCGAGCTGCCAGGGCTTTGCAAACAAGCATTCGGCAAATGACAGAAGGAGAGTCCGAGAAAGAACGGAAAGAATGCAGAGGCAGATGAAGGCAGCTCATGAGAGAAAAACATGAACAATGAAGGAAAATGAAAGCTATAGGCTCCTCTAGCTGGCTAGCAAAGAGGCTTCCATGGTATGATTGACATGCATTTCCTCCCACAGGTTACGAGTCACAAACACAGCTAAATAGCTGAACAGAACAGGGAAATTTTGAGCAGGGGCTCACCTCCTCTTCCTTCTTTGCCTTCGCAATCCGCTCAGCCTCTTGCTCCGCAGCAAGCAAAGCTGCAACATGAGCTCGGAAAATAGCCTCCCTCTCAGCCCTTGGCAACGCCTTGTACCTTGGATCATCTCTGAGACTGTCCTTTGTCTGCGTTCACAAGAGGGGTAGTGCACCACGCACAATTCAAACGAGTTCCCTGGCACCACTTCTCAGACGGCCCACCACAAAGCATATCATTGCACCCGAGACATTCATATACCCTCGTAAAAGCACCAACCAACCCACCATCCCCAGACAGGAGACCATAAAGGCATACCCTTGCAAACAGATTCAAACACACCTTATCACCATCCACTCCGCCCTCCCTCTCTCTCTCTCTCTCTCTCTCTCTCTCTCTCTCTCTCTCTCTCAATTATCACCATCCACTCCCCCCACCCCTTCGCTCTCTCTCTCATACAGACACAAACACACCCACAAGCTCTCTCTCTCTCTCTCTCTCTCTCTCTCTCTCTCTCTCTCTCTCTCTCTCTCTCTCTCTC